CTTGAGCAGAGGGACCTTGCGAGCACTGCAGGATTTCAGTCCTTGTCGGCGTAGTGTGTTACCAATTGTTTTCTTGGTGACGTTTCCTGTAGTTGGCCAACAGGTTTGCACACATCTCGGGAGGGATTTTGGCCCACTCCTTACTCCTTACTTATTTCCCTCATGAACATGCAGATCAGTCATCATTTGTTAGACGCATTTCTGCTGAATTTGTTGTTGCTATTCTGTCTCTCAGTGTTACAATACACCGAACATTCGATTTTACGTCCGATCATTTCTTGTGTGTGGGCAAACATTCAAAATCAGCAGGGGATCAAATACGCATTTCCTTCACTGTATTATGTAAATGAACAATCGATGAAGTATAGTAATGCCGATTTCCAAATCTGAAGATAATATCAGCACTTACAGATAGATGGTGAATCAATTACTTACCAGCCAAATTTAAAAACATGAGAGCATAAAAAATACAGTGAACGCTCCAATGGTCAACAGCTGAACATTCAAGGAAAACACATAAAAGTCCCAAAAATATATATATATAAGAAGAAAATGCAGCGCTGTGTGATGTTACTATATTGCGGGCAGATATAAATAATAAAATGAAACGAAAGCAAATAAATCAATAAATCAATAAATAAATCACAGTCCAGTAATGGTGCTCGCTGTTTCCCAGTGCAAAAGTTAGAAATGCGCACTAACCAGAAATGTATTAATAATACACATGTGTATATGATATCATGGAGATTCCCCTCTCATTTCTGGTCTGGTAATGGGCAGGAGCAATATAGTAACATCACATAGCGCTGCAAATTTAAAAACAGCCCCAGTCATAGAACCCAGGGGGTGTCTTTGGGGGCCACGGGAGGAACAGGGTGCACATGAGGGCCCAAGGAGAGCCAAAGCAGAATTGTATGTTGCAACAATATTGATATCAGTTAAACATCCAGCAATCCTCTAGGAACTAATCTGGTAGATCTCCCTAAACTGGATCAGGTGGATCCATGACTATGTATAAATGATCCATAATCATCTTTACCCCCAATTAGTGTAAATATAAAACTTCTAATCTATATAATATTGCAGTAACACAATCACATTGTAAAGTTGCTAATGTTTCTAACTAATGGGATAAAGTGTATCCCCAATAGCCAACACATGGGACAAAGAAGGTTTCATATATAATCCTTCTGACATCCATGGGCCCAATACGATAAAGTGCTGTTACATAAACTATAGTTGAATGTCGTCAATATAACCAAAAGTTCAGATTTACCTTACTCTAGGCACTCTTGAAAAATTTAGTAACAAAAAATAGAAAATTAAAAAAAAAAACAGGATGCCCTAAACCAGCAATGGGCAAACTACGGCCCGCGGGCCTTATACGGCCCGGCGGACCTTTTAATCCGGCCCGCGGAGCTATGAGGATCTGTCCCCCTCGACGTATCTGCGCATGTGCCGGAGATCGCCGATCGGCTGCCAATGCCTGAAACTGGCACATGCGCAGATACGTCGAGGGGGACAGATCCTCATAGGAGACAGATTTTCATGCTACACCGGAACGGCACGGGAACACGGCGAGAGGAACGCGCGGAGCAAAGGTAAGTGAATTGACACAGGGGGGACTTGGGGACTTAATATGGGGGATGAATTACTATAGGGGGGATGAATTACTATAGGGGGATGAATTACTATGGGGGATGAATTACTATGGGGGATGAATTACTATATGGGGGATGAATTACTATGGGGGATGAATTACTATAGGGGGGATGAATTACTATGGGGATGAATTACTATAGGGGGGATGAATTACTATATGGGGGATGAATTACTATGGGGGATGAATTACTATATGGGGGATGAATTACTATGGGGGATGAATTACTATGGGGGATGAATTACTATGGGGGATGAATTACTATAGGGGGGAGGAATTACTATGGGGGATGAATTACTATATGGGGGATGAATTACTATATGGGGGATGAATTACTATGGGGGATGAATTACTATATGGGGGATGAATTACTATGGGGGATGAATTACTATATGGGGGATGAATTACTATATGGGGGATGAATTACTATGGGGGATGAATTACTATATGGGGGGATGAATTACTATGGGGGATGAATTACTATATGGGGATGAATTACTATATGGGGGATGAATTACTATGGGGGATGAATTACTATGGGGGATGAATTACTATATGGGGGATTAATTACTATGCTTACTATGGGGGAATATTACTATACTTACTATGGATGACACATACACATCATTCACCTACTCTTGGTCCGGCCCCCGGGTCCAATATATGAACCCATTGCGGCCCTCAAGTCAAAAAGTTTGCCCACCCCTGCCCTAAACCATAAGTAGTGGTGAAATACAAACAACAGGGTTTCAAAAGGATAACCCCCAATAAATGTATACCATTATAACCGACTCACTTGTGAATTACACAAAGTGGTGTCCTCGGAACCAATCATGAACATGTAAAGGGGAGAGAACCAAGGGAAAGAGATCCCATTGGTCAAGGGGTCCCAATGAGGCCAAACCGCGGCTTTAGAAATCATTTCAATCATTTATTGCAAAATATAAAATTACAAAATAATGAAATTACTCTATTCACCGTATGGTCCCCGCTGATACCCTTTCCATCTGAGGTGCCGGGACTTCTCAGCGCTGACTGCCACCTAGGATAACCACGTTGTCTCTAGCCTTCATGTATCTTTCTGTCGGTGGTGGTTGGGTCTGCTATAATTTCATTATTTTGTCATTTTATATTTTGCAATAAATGGTCGAATTGTTTTCTAACAATGAGGTTTGTCCTCATTGGGACCCCTTGACCAATGGGATCTCTTTCCCTTGGTTCTCTGCCCTTTACATACTCTTTGAATTTATCCAGACTGGCCCCTTATACATCCCAATGAGAAAGAAGTAGTACCAGGGGGAAAAACCAGATTCCTCTTATGTACTATTCCAATATGGAGTACGGTCACGCCAATGCTGTTTTAATAATAGACAGGAAGAAATGAGTGGTACAGGTAGATGCTGCTTATCTCAGGAGGGTCAGTGGTGATAATGAGAAAAAGAGAGGAAGGCGCCTCTAAGTGCAGTATTGACAATTTATTTAGTAAACAATGGAAAATTTGCACTTACAAGAAAAACGGTTAAAAAGACTCATCGTGTGGTGATTAGATCCAGGTGGGACATCCAGCCATCCAGCAGCAAACTATGCCTATAGGATCAGGAAGTAGAGTCCCGGATGTGCCGGTGCATCAAAATGCATTTCGGTGCATGCTCAATAGGCTCCTTCTTCAGTCCACAATGAAGGTGCATGGAAGATCGTGATCTGATCCGGTATTATGGTGATGTGATTCATATAATAGGATTGCGCACTCACCAGATACGCAATCAGACTGCGCATTTATAAAATGCCAATCTCAGAAAACTGGAGGTCCCTTTATGGTCTGGTTTGGTCAGGTATCCACTGCCACACTTGGTACAGCCGCTCTGTGGGTGTTTAAAGCTCACAAGGAGCCCCAAAAAGAGGAGGCCAGATAGTGTATTATCCTTTAAACAGGAGGTGTTTATTCGAAATGTACAGCACAAAAAGTGAGGGAAACAAAAACACTGACCATCTGGTGTGCCCCCTATGATTATGTGCCGTTGCACGAAACGCATCAGGGAGGAGCTACAGCATTGTGACGTCACGCCACCGGCGCCACGTGGGCCCCGGCGGCCATCTTTAAAATCATCAGATGGTCAGTGTTTTTGTTTTCCTCACTTTTTTGTGCTGTACATTTGGAATAAACACCTCCTCCATCCCTTGCCTTTCTCCTTCTCTGGTCCCATCTCCCTATACTATCAGAGTTCCCATGTACCATCATGGCCCCCGTTTACCATCAGAGCCCTTTTTACCATCAGAGCCCTCTTTACCATCAGTGCCCCCCTTTAACCTCAGAGTCCCCACTTACAGAAAAAGCCTGTTAGTGCTCCCAGGTGTGACCAGAGGTGTGTGACTGACGCAGGGAAACGCAGACTTCAGATATGTGATAAAACAATATAATTTATTAACACTAACAATACAAACATAAACGCAGTGCAATACTAAACATAATACAGTGCAAACAAACCAAACCAAACCACCCACAGATAACAGTACATACAAGCAAGCGTCGTCAGGCAGGCTGGGTCAATATCAATTGGGCAGGTAGGTACAGGGGGAGCAAGCGGAGATTGGTCGGGGTCACAGGCCAGGTTCAGCAGGTAGCTAGCAGCGTAGTACAGAGGGTCAGGCAGAGGGATGGTCAGGGTCACAAGCCAGGGATCAGAACAGGTAGCAGGCAGCGTAGTACAGAGAGTCAGGCAGAGGGATGGTCAGGCAAGCCAGGGATCAGAGCAGGGTCAGCAGAGAATCAGCCAGGAACAGAGAGCAGGAACAGGATACAGGGCCCAAGAGAAACACAACACCAAGGCAGAGTCTGCAAGTCTGGCCATCCCTTAAATACCCCAGCATAATCAGTTCCAGGTGTTAGCTGGCTGCAAAAGTTGAGTCTCTGATTGCTGGGAGCACCCGCTGGCCAGCCCTGGTACTGCAGATCAAAAGGCAGGTGAGTCCCACCATTGCTGGCTAGTCCATTCCTGACAGTACCCCCCCCTCAAGGAGCAGCCTCAGGACGCTCCAAACAGTCCTAGCTGGGCAAAATGTTCCACCGCCCGGGTCTGGTAACTGGCGGGATATCAAAGACTGGCACACCGGGCAGGACTCCGGGCAGCGGCACACCGGGCAGGACTCCGGGCAGCGGCACACCGGGCAGGGGCACATCGGGCAAGGGCACACCGGGCAGAGGCACATCGGGCTGGACTCCGGGCAGAGGCACATCGGGCTGGACTCCGGGCAGAGGCACATCGGGCTGGACTCCGGGCAGAGGCACATCGGGCTGGACTCCGGGCAGAGGCACATCGGGCTGGACTCCGGGCAGAGGCACATCGGGCTACCGGGCGAGGCGGCAGGCACCGGGCCACCGGGCAGGGCGGCAGGCACCGGGCCACCGGGCGGGGCGACAGGCATCGGGCCCCCAGGAGGGGCGACAGGCATCGGGCCCCCGGGGCGACAGGCATCGGGCCCCCAGGCGGGGCGACAGGCATCGGGCCCCCAGGCGGGGCGACAGGTCTCGGGCCCTCAGGCGGAGCGGCGGGCGGGGACCCCCAGATGGAGTGACAGGTCTCGGGCCCCCAGGCGGAGTGACAGGTCTCGGGCCCCCAGGCGGAGCGACAGGTCTCGGGCCCCCAGGCGGAGCGGCGGGCGCGCCGGACCCCCAGATGGAGCGACAGGTCTCGGGCCCCCAGGCGGAGCGGCGGGCGCCGGACCCCCAAGTGGAGCGACAGGTCTCGGGCCCCCAGGCGGAGCGACAGGTCTCGGGCCCTCAGGCGGAGCGGCGGGCGCCGGACCCCCAGATGGAGCGACAGGTCTCGGGCCCTCAGGCGGAGCGACAGGTCTCGGGCCCTCAGGCGGAGCGGCGGGCGCCGGACCCCCAGATGGAGCGACAGGTCTCGGGCCCTCAGGCGGAGCGGCGGGCGCCGGACCCCCAGGTGGAGCGACAGGTCTCGGGCCCCCAGGCGGAGCGACAGGTCTCGGGCCCTCAGGCGGAGCGGCGGGCGCCGGACCCCCAGATGGAGCGACAGGTCTCGGGCCCTCAGGCGGAGCGGCGGGCGCCGGACCCCCAGGTGGAGCAACAGGTCTCGGGCCCTCAGGCGGAGCGGCGGGCGCCGGACCCCCAGGTGGAGCGACAGGTCTCGGGCCCCTGGGCGGAGCAACAGGTCTGGGGGCCCCAGACGAAGCGGCGGGCACCGAGCGGCGGGCACCGAGTCACTGGCAGGACGACAGTGGGCACCGAGTCGTCTGGCAAGACTGCGGGCACCGAGTCGTCTGGCAAGACTGCGGGCACCGAGTCAACTGGCAAGACTGCGGGCATCGAGTCGTCTGGCAAGACTGCGGGCACCGAGTCGTCTGGCAAGACTGCGGGCACCGAGTCGTCTGGCAAGACTGCGGGCATCGAGTCGTCTGGCAAGACTGCGGGCACCGAGTCGTCTGGCAAGACTGCGGGCACCGAGTCGTCTGGCAAGACTGCGGGCACCGAGTCAACTGCACTGCGAGAGTCAACTGGCGGAACAGCGGGCATCGAGTCAACTGGCGGAACAGCGGGCATCGAGTCAACTGGCGGGACTGCGGGCACCGAGTCGTCTGGCAAGACTGCGGGCACCGAGTCGTCTGGCAAGACTGCGGGCACCGAGTCGTCTGGCAAGACTGCGGGCACCGAGTCGTCTGGCGGAACAGCGGGCATCGAGTCAACTGGCAAGACTGCGGGCACCGAGTCGTCTGGCAAGACTGCGGGCACCGAGTCGTCTGGCAAGACTGCGGGCACCGAGTCATCTGGCAAGACTGCGGGCACCGAGTCGTCTGGCATGACTGCGGGCACCGAGTCAACTGGCGGAACAGCGGGCACCGAGTCAACTGGCGGAACAGCAGGCATCGAGTCAACTGGCGGAACAGCGGGCACCGAGTCGTCTGGCAAGACTGCGGGCACCGAGTCGTCTGGCGGAACAGCGGGCATCGAGTCAACTGGCAAGACTGCGGGCACCGAGTCGTCTGGCAAGACTGCGGGCACCGAGTCGTCTGGCAAGACTGCGGGCACCGAGTCGTCTGGCAAGACTGCGGGCACCGAGTCGTCTGGCATGACTGCGGGCACCGAGTCAACTGGTGGAACAGGCGGGCACCGAGTCAACTGGCGGAACAGCGGGCATCGAGTCAACTGGCGGGACTGCGGGCACCGAGTCGTCTGGCAAGACTGCGGGCACCGAGTCGTCTGGCGGAACAGCGCGGGCATCGAGTCAACTGGCAAGACTGCGGGCACCGAGTCGTCTGGCAAGACTGCGGGCACCGAGTCGTCTGGCAAGACTGCGGGCACCGAGTCGTCTGGCAAGACTGCGGGCATCGAGTCAACTGGCGGAACAGCGGGCACCGAGTCGTCTGGCAAGACTGCGGGCACCGAGTCGTCTGGCAAGACTGCGGGCACCGAGTCGTCTGGCAAGACTGCGGGCACCGAGTCGTCTGGCAAGACTGCGGGCACCGAGTCGTCTGGCGGAACAGCGGGTATCGAGTCAACTGGCGGAACAGCGGGCATCGAGTCAACTGGCGGAACAGCGGGCACCGAGTCGTCTGGCAAGACTGCGGGCACCGAGTCGTCTGGCAAGACTGCGGGCACCGAGTCGTCTGGCAAGACTGCGGGCACCGAGTCGTCTGGCAAGACTGCGGGCACCGAGTCGACTGGTGGAACAGCGGGCACCGAGTCGTCTGGCAAGACAGTGGGCTCCGAGTCAACAGGCACGACAGTGGGCACCGGGTCATCAGGTATCGGATTGTCTGGCTCGACAGCGGGCATCGGGTCACCAGGTATGACAGCGGGCACTGGGTCACCAGGCATCAGGTCATTTGGCTTGCCAGCGGGCACCGCGTCATCTGGCAAGGCAGTGGGCACCGGGTCACCAGGTATGACAGCGGGCTCTGAGTCAATTGGCACAACAGCGGGCACTGGATCAGGTACCGGATCATCTGGATCAACAGCGGGCATCGAGTCAACTGGCCTAATAGGATCGTCGGGCTGGATCAGTTCATCATGCTGAGTAGCGGCATCAGGCTGAAGAGAGGCATCCGGCTGAAGAGAGGCATCCGGCTGAAGAGAGGCATCAGGCTGAAGAGAGGCATCAGGCTGAGTAGAGGCATCAGGCCGAGGAGAGGCATCAGGCCGAGGAGAGGCTTCAGGCTTCAGGCCGAGTAGAGGCTTCAGGCTGAGTCACGGAAGGCAGGTTCACCGGTTTGGATACTGGCAGGATGGTATTGGTTGGAAAGAATTTTCGCTTTTTTCTGGTTTTAACTACTGGAGCACTGCAAGTAAACGCAGGTCTGCAAACGAATGGAGCAGCTGGAGACAGAGAAGAGCTGGAGGATGGAACAGGAGAGGGAGCAGTTGCTACAGAGGGCTTTTTTACAGGGTTAAAGGCAGGATAGGTGCAGCGAGTGGGAACAGGGTACTGACATGCGGTAGATAGCCAAGTATACTGGGCTGTAACTGGAGGAGCTGGTGGGAATACAGGAGTAGAGTTAGAAGCAGGACTGGGTCTTTGTAAGCTGACTGAGGCTGGGTGCAACAAGTCTGTCCATGTCTGCAGTATGGGTTGAACAAAGCTGAGCTTACACAAAGCCTGTCTGGTCAATGACTGCACTGCGTTTATACAATCTCTTAGTGTCTGTGGTGAACATGTGGATAACGCTCCAGAAAGTAACCCACATCATCCTCTAATAACCACACCAGGGACTCTACCTGGTCTGCACTAAATGGTGGCAAAAATTCATCCCTGCATTTGGGGGAACCAGATGAAACCAACTCAGCACAAACCTCAATCAAAGGCTGCACCTCAGAGAACTCTGTGCCCTGATCTACTAGAACATGAGCGAGCCGTATACATTCTAGCAGTTCATCCCGGGGATACTCCTTCAGAGTTTGATAAGCATACTCCCTGTCATCAAACACTAGCAGAGATAAATACACAACCTCATCCAGATCCATCCTTCCCAGCAACAAGCCAAGATGGCTTCCCTGTGCAGCCACTTCTGGTCAGGATTGGCCTTGGTGTAATGTCAGGGCTCCCAGGTGTGACCAGAGGTGTGTGACTGACGCAGGGAAACGCAGACTTCAGATATGTGATAAACAATATAATTTATTAACACTAACAATACAAACATAAACGCAGTGCAATACTAAACATAATACAGTGCAAACAAACCAAACCAACCACCCACAGATAACAGTACATACAAGCAAGCGTCGTCAGGCAGGCCGGGTCAATATCAATTGGGCAGGTAGGTACAGGGGGAGCAAGCGGAGATTGGTCGGGGTCACAGGCCAGGTTCAGCAGGTAGCTAGCAGCGTAGTACAGAGGGTCAGGCAGAGGGGATGGTCAGGGTCACAAGCCAGGGATCAGAACAGGTAGCAGGCAGCGTAGTACAGAGGGTCAGGCAGAGGGATGGTCAGACAAGCCAGGGATCAGAGCAGGGTCAGCAGAGAATCAGCCAGGAACAGAGAGCAGGAACAGGATACAGGGCCCAAGAGAAACACAACACCAAGGCAGAGTCTGCAAGTCTGGCCATCCCTTAAATACCCCAGCATAATCAGTTCCAGGTGTTAGCTGGCTGCAAAGTTGAGTCTCTGATTGCTGGGAGCACCCGCTGGCCAGCCCTGGTACTGCAGATCAAAAGGCAGGTGAGTCCCACCATTACTGGCTAGTCCATTCCTGACAAAGCCCTCCAGCTGTGCTGGAGCTGTGCATGGCAGAGAAGGAGAGGAGGAAAGCAGAGAACAGGTGTGTCTTGACCGAGAAGGCAGAGAGGAGTAAAGATGGAGACTGAAGCAGAATAGAACATCTACACTGGAGAGGAGGGGAGAGATTGTCGGGGAAGAAAGTGCAGCTGCAGCCGGCGCAAAGAGATCTAACCTATCAGATGAGAGCCAGCTTGCCAGGGAGTCGAGATTGGTGCGGCAGCACCCTGTACACAGTGCCAGCCCGCACATGTTTCCCTTAGTGAGAGACCCGGAAGCACTTGAAACCGAGTTTGAGGGAGGAGAGCAAAACACCGCGGGGGAGAGGAACAGGGGAATGGTGAGGGTGATTGGTGCACAGGTCTGGGACATGGAGCCCCTGTGCTGCCTGTGCTGCCTTATAGTGGCTCCGGCTTTACCAGTGACTCGCCCCCAGATTATTTCCACTCGACAAATGCGAGCAGGAGAGTGGAAATTTTAAGGCCTGCCTTAGACCCCAGTGACACCGTCTGCTCCTCAGTGTCGGTGTACAGGAAAAGCATCAGAACAAAGCACAGATAATCATCGCCCTCTTACCACGCAGGCAGGTTTTCTGGAGACTCGCCATTGTTTTATCACCTAAGTAGCAACGTCTAACAAATAGGTTTAATCTTCCGTGATTCGTAAATGTTTACTGCTTTCGGCTTCAATTGATGTCACCTTAAAATCTATTGCAGCCTGCTTTCGTCTGCCAGCATTGGAGGAGGACCTACTCCCCGAGACAAGACTCGAATTGTGATTAGCTGAACGTTACCTTATTTTCTGCAAACATGTGAAAAGAAAAGAGTGATTTCTTGTGTACGGGGGGGCTGCAGTGCGGTGGGGAATGTGACGTTAAACTACTCAGAGCAGAAAAGTTCTCTAGGGGGCACTTCAAAGTGCTGCAGCTCGCAACGTCATTATTCTAATGGGAATGTTTTACTTTCAGGTCTGCAAGAACTTACAGACAGCCCCGTGTCCCTGGACCTGGATCGCTGCAAGTCTCCAACTTCAGGTACGTGTGATGGAATGTGAGCATCTGTGCCGCCATATCTGTGGTCGGTCTACGCTGGGGGGGGGCATCATATCTCTGGGGATAGACGCTGTCAAGATGGGATTTGCACTGCCATATCGGGGGAATAGAGAAATCGGGAGTCTGCACTTGCGGAGCATCCGATCCCAGGGGAATCTGTCATATGTGAGGGGTTCTGTGCTCCATATCTCAGATAGGGGAGGGTGATATGGCGTACACAGCTTCATATTGAGGAGGATCTGTGCTGTCATATCTAAAAGGGGTCAGTCTGTGCTGGGGAACATCATATCTCAGGGGATCTACACTGTCATATGTTAGGAGGGGGGTTGTGCTGCCATATTGGGAATAGGGAAAGAGAGGTCTGCACTTGGGGAGAATCATATCTCAGGGAAACCATATTGAGGAGGATCTGTGCTGGGGGGAAGGATCATATCTCAGGGGATCTACACTGTCACATGTTAGGAGGGGGTTTGCACTGCCATATCGGGGGAATAGAGAAAGGGGGGGTCTGCACTTGGGGAGCATCTGATCCCAGGGGAATCTGTTATATGTGAGGGGTTCTGTGCTCCATATCTCAGATAGGGGAGGGTGATATGGCGTACACAGCTTCATATTGAGGAGGATCTGTGCTGTCATATCTAAAAGGGGTCAGTCTGTGCTGGGGGAACATCATATCTCAGGGGATCTACACTGTCATATGTTAGGGGGGTTGTGCTGCCATATTGGGAATAGGGAAAGAGAGGTCTGCACTTGGGGAGAATCATATCTCAGGGAAACCATATTGAGGAGGATCTGTGCTGGGGGGAAGGATCATATCTCAGGGGATCTACACTGTCATATGTTAGGAGGGGGTTTGCACTGCCATATCGGGGGAATAGAGAAAGGGGGGGTCTGCACTTGGGGAGCATCTGATCCCAGGGGAATCTGTTATATGTGAGGGGTTCTGTGCTCCATATCTCAGATAGGGGAGGGTGATATGGCGTACACCGCTTCATATTGAGGAGGATCTGTGCTGTCATATCTAAAGGGGGGTCAGTCAGTGCTGGGGGAGCATCATATCTCAGGGGATCTACACTGTCATATGTTAGGAGGGGGGTTGTGCTGCCATATTTGGGGAATAGGGAAAGAGAGGTCTGCACTTGGGGAGAATCATATCTCAGGGGAATCATATTGAGGAGGATCTGTGCTGGGGGGGATAGCATCATATCTCAGGGGAATCATATTGAGGAGGATCTGTGCTGGGGGTAGCATCATATCTCAGGGGAACCATATTGAGGAGGATCTGTGCTGGGGGTTAGCATCATATCTCAGGGGAATCATATTGAGGAGGATCTGTGCTGGGTGGGGGGGGGGGGGGGGTAGGATCATATCTCAGGGGGATCATATTTTGGAGGATCTGTGCTGGGGGGTAGCATCATATCTCAGGGGAATCATATTGAGGAGGATCTGTGCTGGGGGGTAGCATCATATCTCAGGGGAACCATATTGAGGAGGATCTGTGCTGGGGGTTAGCATCATATCTCAGGGGAATCATATTGAGGAGGATCTGTGCTGGGTGGGGGGGGGGGGGGGGGGGGGTAGGATCATATCTCAGGGGAATCATATTTTGGAGGATCTGTGCTGGGGGGTAGCATCATATCTCAGGGGAATCATATTGAGGAGGATCTGTGCTGGGGGGTAGCATCATATCTCAGGGGAACCATATTGAGGAGGATCTGTGTTGGGGGAAGGATCATATCTCAGGGGAACCATATTGAGGAGGATCTGTGTTGGGGGGGAAGGATCATATCTCTCAGGGGAATCATATTGAGAGGATCTGTGTTGGGGGGGTAGCATCATATCTCAGGGGAATCATATTGAGAAGGATCTGTGTTGGGGGGTAGCATCATATCTCAGGGGAATCATATTGAGGAGTATCTGTATTGGGGAGTAGCATCATATCTCAGGGGAATCATACTGAGGAGGATCTGTGCTGGGGGGGGGGGGATCATATCTCAGGGGAATCATATTGAGGAGGATCTGTGTTGGGGGTAGCATCATATCTCAGGGGAATCATATTGAGGAGGATCTGTGCTGGGGGGTAGCATCATATCTCAGGGGAACCATATTGAGGAGGATCTGTATTGGGGGTAGCATCATATCTCAGGGGAATCATATTGAGGAGGATCTGTATTGGGGGGAGGGGGGGGGGGGGTAGCATCATATCTCAGGGGAATCATATTGAGGAGGATCTGTATTGGGGGGTAGCATCATATCAGGGGAATCATATTGAGGAGGATCTGTATTGGGGGGGTAGCATCATATCTCAGGGGAATTGTCATATTGAGGAGGATCTGTGCTGGGGGGGGGGCATCATATCTCAGGGGAATCATATTGAGGAGGATCTGTATTGGGGGGTAGCATCATATCTCAGGGGAATCATATTGTGGAGGATCTGTGCTGGGGGGTAGCATCATATCTCAGGCAATCTGTCATATATGA